GATTAACTTCGAGTTGAGTTATTGACTGGAGCCGGAGATACGGGCCATGGCAGTAATAGGTGTACTTCCCCTACTTATGATAGCACTAATGCTCACAACTTAGCCCAGTCTTTGAGATAAAGTCGCCAACAAGCAATTTTTATGACCGAAAATCCAATTCAAATGTTTACAAATCGCTTAAACTGGGATCTCGACTGATGAGCAGGAGGAGAAGGCTCTCAAAAAAGACATAAAAATAAATCGCGTACAAATTGAAAATAATTTCAGATCTGATTTTCTCCTGGCCAGTGGACAGAGATGTCTCCAGCGGAATTGCGGACAGGCGGGTCAACCACCACGGCGGGTGGCTGGGTGGTTCGATGGTTCGGTCGTGGTGGAGTGGTGTCCCTTCCATTCCACTAAGTACACAAGAATGGAGCGTAAAAAATTTTTATCGTCGCGGTTTTTACGGAATGTGATCCGCGGCGATTAAGTGCGCGGCTTTTGTGTCATTGTCATGCCGTCGTCCTGGCCAAAAAGGGGCGGGGTTCCTGGAGTCGGCGGTTTATTTGCAGGGAGTCCTAGTCCTCCGCATGGAGTCCCCCTGTAATGTATTCAAATTTTTCCAAGGCGAGGCCAGAGTGTCAGTGCATTCATTTCATAAAATGCTTTTTTCTCTGCCACTTTTCCCCCATTTTCCCCGCTTTTCTCTTTATCCAGTTTTTCCTTTCTTTTTCTTTTTAATTTAATCGCGGGCAAATATTTTCATTTTTACTGAAACGCTTTTAGCTAAATGAGTGGAAATAAAATTAAATCGATATTGGTTAACGTCAAAGTTTTTTAAGGGGAAACCTCAAATGACCAATTTGGGGGAAGATTAAAGGACATCTGAATGGGGTTGGGGGAGTTTCTTAATGCAGGAAATTGATTTGCACAAATGATCCTTGGGGTTCCTTATTCAGTATTAAATTACAAAACTTTTAGCTTATACAAATTTAGTTTAGATTTTATTTTACTTTTCTTAGTCTTCGGAACAATTTTAACACTCTAATTTAAAATTTGTTCTTGTTCCTTAACATTGATTTGATAGACATTAAAGTGTATTCTCAGAGACTTTTCTGAGACCCAAGAAAACCCTTGAATGTTTATAAATCCCTGAAAATTCTGAGCCCTTTTCGCTTTAAAAATAATGACAAATCAGTTTGCAGATAAGGCCAGTGAAAAAGCTCCCCCCAAAAAAAATGCGGTTGAAAATAATAATCTTAAAATTTACTTTGGCCAGCCGCCGGCTCAAGCTTAACTAATTGTAACAGATTTTTTCACAGTCACGTTGGGAGGGGAAAAAAAGGCGAAGAAAAAACGGAGGAAAAATATGGAAAAACCCTTTGGGGCGTAAACGTCTGCCTGGCATTATCCTGGCTGCGGTCGGCCAATTAGAACCCTTTGTTTGTCTTGGCCAAGACGCCGTGCACTTATCTCCATAATAAAGTCGTAACAATTAATTGAGCGACCCGAAAACGGATATCTTCCCGGTCCGATCCTTGGAGTCCTGGGACAGAGCCTTGAATCTGGCCCTGGAGATTTTTCATCGTTTGACGCGTAATTAGTGCTCAAAAATTATTTGACGAGCGCCAATTAATTTAATGCTCGGCGACATGATTTCAAGTTCAACGCGTTCTCGGTTTACCTTTTTAGAGGCACTTAACCACTGGGGCATTTGTGGTTAAATGGCCTTTCATAAAGATTTGGGCGGGATAAAGGTAAGCAAAATGATCAGAGTTTTTTATGAGTGCATATTGTTCTTAGAACGAACTTGAAAAAATGCTATACAAATGGTTCAAAGTCAGGGAATTACCCCCTGTGCACCCTTGAACGTATTTATAATAATAAGTTTCTACACCTTTTTTCAGCTAAAATAACATGTTCAAAACACTAATATATTCCCAATTTACGTTGATTTATTAAGGTCTCCTTGGATGCACTTTCTTATTTGCGACACCACAAGTCTATTAATGTCAAGCACACAATTATGGAATATCAATAACTGAATAAATCATCTGCCCCCTCAAAAACACAGTCTGCCATTCGATATGCCTGGGAATCCATTCGGTTTTCGTAGCAATCTTTGTATCTCGACCAAGACATTAGATGAATCTCTATCTCTTCCCTTGTTGTTTTTCGCACTCGCGCAGAATTCGTTTTGAATGAATTCAACTGTAAAGGTTAAAATTATAAATGTGCAAATGACTCATCATAAATAAAATTAATAAAAGGCACCGCGAACCTGGCCCTGTCCTCCGTTTACTTTTTTTTCCTGACCCTGGCAGACTGCGGGGCCTTCATTGAGAAAAAGTACAACGCATCAACATAAATATTATGATAAATGGTTTGTTATAATCGTAATCCTCGGGGGGTAAGTTTCGAGTCGTGCCGCACGCATTTTTTATAACCTTCCACCCACCGAATCAGGCAGAAGTCAGAGCAGGAGCAGGAGCAGGATGAACTGCTTCAGTTCTCGATGGAGCAACATATGGTCGCGGGGTGGATGATACAGATGGCGCTGCCAATGGATTTCCGCCTCTCAATAGCCGGGGCCAACAAAGTCAAATGGTTTTTTATTGGTTTTACCCCCAATCCTGTACCCTGCCTGCTGTCTGCCGTCTGGTTGAAGGTACCCACTCTCCTGGCAGGATCCTTTCGCACATCTCACAGTTACTTGCCACCGAGTTGAACATGCTGCACGACAATTACAAACTTTTCTTGCAGTTCATTACGCCTAATTAACACTTGATGCTGAGCCCAAATTTTATTGCTTCCACTTTGTGTGTATGTAAACAGGCTAACAAAACAATTTCGGCGGAGAAGACCTCATCCTACGACTCGTACAACTCATCCTGCGAAGGGCTTTCAGTCGAAATACGCGCCACACATTAAAATTCAGGATGCGTTGTAAACAATTTGCGGCAAACAATGAGTGTGTATGGGGGGAAGAGGAGGCGCAGCTAGGAACAAGGATACAAATTATTAGCCCAGGCAGGAAGAGGAATTGCAAATTGAGGCTTTAAGGGAGCTGATCAGAAATGTTTAATGAATGATATCTTCAGTTTAAATACAACAAATTCCCCTCTTAAAGATCTGCCGTCCTGAGAATCATTTAGATCGTTTACCACTCGACAAGGAATTAATTTGACAACATTAACAAATTAAACTGTTAAGCCAACACAAGGGCACCGGCTCTCTACACGGGCCGAGATAAACAAACGGACACATACAACATCATTTGTAATCCATATCGCTCAGCATGTCGTCCCTTTGGCTCTCCTCTTCCCAACTCCGCACATTTCCCTGGTATATCTATATACATATATAGAGTGAGTGTGAGTGAGTGAAAGATGTATTGACCCTTCAACGGCGCTTTGGTATGCTTCACGCTATTTATTGGCTCACTTTCACTCCGGGAAACCGGGCACCCGGGCACCCGAGAACCAGGGAACCGGGAGTCGGACCCGGAGAAAGATTTTGCCAGCTCTCTCCCCTCTGGGGAATTCCTTGCTGTTTCCACTGGCCACGTGTTGGGATTTGGCGGTTAAACACACACTTACACACACTTTCTAGGGGATTAGTGCTGCTCATTTGTCAACAGGATGTGTGTGGTTGGTTGGTTGGTTGTTCGGTGAGTGTGTGGTCAATATTAATTGGCATTGTATTAGTTTAAGTCAGTGCACCATCTCTCTCTTACTTAATCATTTGCATTTGTCATTTGTTGAGGGGTGGGACTTTCGCTTAACCAACGATTTGTTTATGTTGAAACATAACTCCATCCAAAATTTTTCTTAAAAGTGTTCAAGAAATAAGAGTTCTATAAAAATATCTATATTCAAAGAATTTTCGTTTAGGGATTTACTTTTTCGTCCAAACTCCTAAGCCTACCCATTGAAATTTCCATTGCTCTCCTTGTGTCCGATAAAAGTGATTAATTGAAACCCCTTTGCAGCATAATCCCCTTCCCCGTTTTTTATATATCCCTGGGCTACTCAATGGGAAATAGCGAATGGGAGGCACAGCTTTAAAATGGTGCACCAACAGCAGACACGAAAACTCGTATGTATTTTTTTGTGCTACAAAATAGCCGAAGGCTCGAAGGCCTGCAATTGCAACGTGCAACGTGCAACACGGCATTCACATCCCCTTGGCGTCCTGTGCCCCTCGATCGAAGGCAAAAATAAAAAAAAAAGGGGACAGGAAAAAATATTTTGACAAATGAACCTAAATAACAGGTTGCAATCGCTCAGAGGAAAGGGGTTCGGGCTCAGGTTCGAGTTTTGGGTACTGGACAGGAAAACGTATGGTCGGACAACCTTGATACCTCATTTATTTTAAAGGCGACTGCCTCGATCCCTGGCCCAGCTGTAGTTTTCTCAAGTCTTTTCCCGTACTGCCCTCTTCCCGTCGTCGCTTTTTCGTATTTCTTGCGCAAATGAAATCGACACATTCGACTCGAGTCGAAGCGAAGGGAAATAAATGAAACATTTCCAGCGCGCCGGAGCACTCTGCTCTCGAAAATTGTTACAAATGATCGCAAATAACAGATCTTTGCCGGCACAAACCGAGCTGTCCATCAAAGGAGCCGAACCCTCTGCCAGTGCGTGATCGAGTGGGAAAAGGGAACGGGATGGGAGATAGGGTTCTGGGCTGGCTTTCTGGACGGGAAGTCTGGTTTTGAGTCGAATACGAGCTCGGAGTCGAAGTTGCGAAGGCGCCGCCATGCTGCGCCTCATTTGATGCAAGGTAAATTGCATTGATTTCTTGATTAATGACAGTTTCGCATTTCTCTCCATAACACAGAGAGAAAAGGATCAGTTAAGGCATAATAAGTAAATAATATCATTGAATAGAAAACTAACAAAGAAATACGGAACTCTAAAAGCAAAAAACCTAATAATTTGGACTCCACATTATCATTCAACACTGCACCAATGATCACTCAACATCCTATTTATTTTTCTCAGTATATCTCTTACCCTGATTGTTGTTATTGCTGCTCTTGCGGGATGTCTTCTTCTCCTTCATCCAGGGATACTCCGGCACCGAGTCCATGCCATCCGGCGTTTGAGGGACAACGCCGACCGGATATCCGACGCCGACCCCGCCAACATTGACATTAACATTGACGCCCACACCTCCTCCGATGGCGCCAGCACCAACAGGTGTCCCGATTTTGGGACTCTCCGGACTCAGGTGATTGAGGAACTCGGCCATCGATGGCTGCGAGTTGATGAATCCACCCTCGGAGGCTGCCATCCAGTAGGCCGTATCCGCAGCCCGTTTATCACAGTTCGGAGCCATCTTGTTGACCAGCATCACCGCCGGCACCGGTGGTGCTCCCTGCTGACCGACACCAGGCTGTCCGACACCCACTCCGACGGGTCCACCGACTCCGCCACATCCACCACCCACTGGGAGCGAGGTCTGTCCGGTTTGCACCTGTAGAGGATTGAGCGGTGATTCCGATTTGATCTGCGTGCCCATTGGGGTCGTGTCCAGGGTGCTGCAGACTTCTTGCATGGCTTCGGTTTGTTTTTTCTGGACTATTTTTTATCTATTTCAGTTAATGGAGAGCCTTAAATAATCCTCAACTTGGGGACCTGCAAGTACAAAGGCATTCCTATTAGTCAATAATAAGATTAAAATACGCATTGAATCGAATCAAATTTTATTATTTGACTGCTTGTCCCTTTGGAGCGAAGTTATTATATTATTAAAAACGTATTACATTCAACTTTTATGAAGCATAATATATAACTTTATTATTAAGAAACAATAATTCATTTGAAATTAAAAATTATATTAGATCCATAAAGAAATGGTTAATAAATTGTATATATTATACGTATTTTTAAAATACTTTCATAACGTTCTGAGGCATCTTTAATTTTTAGTTTCCGGTACTAAAAATATTTGAAAATAAAATTGTATGCTAAAAAAAACAATTTCAAAAGCTGAAGAAGTAACATTAAAATAACTTAAGTAATTACAACAAAATAAACTTTTAGGTGACCCAATCAGTTTCTTATTGGCTTAAACATTTGTTTAATAGTGAATACTTTCTTTTCAAATGGCATGTTGTAAATAAACTAACAAAATGTACATTTTAGCATTTTTTTAATTGATTGCTTGTTCTTTTAAAAGATAAAGTAAACATTTACATCATTATTCATTGCGTTAACTTTAACCTATTTGTAATTGGCTTATTCTTTTGATTTGATACGAACTCTTTCAAAGATATTAGTCATAAATATTTAAGTAATTTTTTAATTTTTAAAAAGGTTCTAAAAATGGATTGCATGTTTATTTTAAGTCTTTAAGTTTATCTGAATCAATTTTACTGAATTTGATCTTTTTTAGCGTCGGCTCTTTTTAATTTAAAACCAAATATTGCTTTTCAAATTTCAAGTGTATACATAAAAGAACATTGTAAGCTAAAATACAATATATATCGTACCATTGCAAATTGATCATCAACAGCGATCTATACTCCGCATTATTCTTAGAGTTTTTATGTTTTCACGTGAGTTTTTCGTGAAAATTTCACCACTATAACTTTATTTGGAATTTTCACTATTGTCTCCACTTGTTCACTGTAACTGTTGTGGCTTAACCCTTTCTTTTTCTTCGTTTATATTATTTTGCTTAACAGTCACAACTTTCGCGATGCGGGTTTTGCGTAGAACTTTAGTGTGTCAGGGCTTATCTAGGGGCCGCCAAAAGAGGCGACAACCGCGACGAGAACGAGGGAACCAGATATAATATAAATATGGCCACCGTTGTGTTTACTCAACCGTCAAGTGCGACGACAGTTCGGGGTTTGTTTTTCGCTCTTTTGCGTTTTTAGTGCGACACACGCCTTTTGGCAGCCATGGCGACGCGAAAAGGCCAAAACAGAGAGGCGACCGACGACGACGAAACTGTGGCGATAACGGCGATAATGTCAGCTGCACACGGTGCGTATGCGTAATGTGTAGAGTTTGGAGACTCGCTGCGATCGCTGCAATGGCCTCACACACACGCACGCACACAAGCACTCACGAGCAATGCAATTTGTCTGAGATAGTTTTCTCCACTTTACACACACACACTAGCTGTCTCGTTCTGGCGTACGGGAGGTGCGCATAACCGGTTTTTCAGGGGTTCCTAAAAGTTGTTTTTATATGCGAATGCACCAGCACTGTTAGCAGTTGCCTTAGAATATTTTTGTATTATTTAAATTATTATTTAGCATTTCTTTAAGGATTTAAGTTATTTTTACTATTAAGTCAGGGGAACTTAAACAGGACGAGAACCAGAGCGAGACGGAGAGCTTCTGGGGAGCTTCTCGTGCGGATACCCGAGAGCAGTGGACACTGAGCTTAGACCAACCAACAACCACTCCATCCAATAGCACCGAACGCACTGAATTGGGATTTCGGTCGGGCCCAGTGGCAAGGAGTGGCCTAAGCGACAGCCACCGCCGTCCATCACTCTTTTTTCCGGAGCGGCACATGCGCGCTGGCCGACTGGAAACTGGTTACCATGGCCATTACCGGGGGTGGAGTTGACGCACACCGGCGCACAAGTCTCCGGCGCTGCGATTGGTCAAAGTCGCAGCCACTTTGTATCTTTGCGGTCGTGTCGCCCGGCTGACGCTGTATCTTTCGGATGTCATTTCCGCAGGCCGCAGCGGCTCGCTTCTCTTGCCTCACTCGCTTTTTTTCCACTTCCAACGCGAACGTGTTGCTTGTGACGGAATTTATTTGGTTTTTGTTATTTACACATTCCGCAGTGGCGGAAAAATGTGGGGAAAAAGCCACCGCATCGCAGCGAGTTTCTTCTCTCTCTCTCCGCGCTTTTTTGGCTTTCGGGTATTTTTGACATTTCGCTTTGCTCATCGCTCTTTTTGTTTTGAGCGTCTCTTCTCTTGTCTAACCATCACGTTGTCAATCTTGGTGGCATTGCTTTTGGCCCGCTTTTTTGCGTTTTGGCCAGTTTGTTCCCTCACCCCCCCCCCCATTAAGCCCGCTCCCCATGTTTTTTACGCCCTGCTTTTTGTTGCATTTTCCAATCCACTCGATGCAGTCAGTCGGCGGCAAAAGTTTCGCAATTAAGTACGGATTTTAATGCACACTGAATGTCAGCACAGGTGTAAAGATATTGCTACATTTATTGACACATTCGCTTTGGGCTACTTCTTGGGAAACTACATAAATTAGGTATAAATTGATCATAATATTAACATTTCAATCAGGCTAGGTATGTTTTTAAAGGTTAATAGACCTTTTAGAATCAGATCACATTATCACATCATATTATTTGCAGCAGCAGTAGAATGATAAACATAAGCACAATTTTGTTTAAGGTTTCTTATATATTTTGTATTCATACTTATTACATGACTTAATTTAAGAAACTATCTAATATACTTATATACAATTACTTTTCATATATCTACAAGTTTGCTATATTATCATACCATCTATACTTAAAAATCTAATAGGTTTTGTATAAAGTCATAGTCCACATCCAAGTATTCATCGGATGAAGTGGAACCAGATGCAGAACTGTTTGAGTCCCAGCAGAAATTCCGAATTAAAGGTGATTCCTGTGAGTAAGTATTCAACTGAGGTTCTGTTACACTCGGTGTAGGAACGAAGGAGGTCTCTATACCCAACCACTGATTTGCCCAATTAGGATCGATTTCATTGAAAGGCAATTGGGGCAAATCCATGGGAGAGGGACAAAACTCTTGGAGGTAGTCGTAGTCCTGGTAGGGAGGTGTGATTTGACCCTGCTCCGAAACTGGCAAGGTATCCTGTGTAGGCGGAGCACACATCTCCACGTTCGTATTAACATATTGGAGAAGGCGTTCAACGATCAGTTCATCCTCCAAAGAGTCCTCACTCGATTGGAAGGAACTCGAGTTTGTCATTGAAACTGCTCCCTTGATGGCCTTTTTATTAACCGACTTTTTTAACTTCATGCGTCGATTCTGAAACCAGATCTTAACTTGTCTTTCGGTCAGGCCCAAACGTTGGGCAATCTCAATTCGACGGGTGCGAGCCAAATACTTGTTAAGATGGAACTCCCTCTCCAGTTCAATAAGCTGATGGCTAGTAAAGGCAGTACGCGATCTCTTAGACTTTTCCAAGGACTTTGGTGGAGCCAAGGTAGCTGACTCCCACTGAAGATCAACACAGGGGTACATCTAGAAAGGGGAAATATACTTTAGTTTAATTTAAATAATTATAGGAGATTTTGCTAACTCACCTCAAAATTGCAAACTGAGGAGCTGTCCACAAAATAGTTTTCTTCTTTAATGGAGATCATTTTTGTGAGAAGAGTAATTTTGTTTGCTTCTGTTCGCTAACAGTTGTGTTTTTTAACTAAATGTCAACGAAGTCGTCTCATTTGCTTATATACCAAGACCTTAGGTACCGGAGCGGATCGGATTGGCCTTGGTTCCTACCTGTCCCGCCTGCGACTCTTCATGATTGGCAGCCGGCTGGTCTGGCCTGGTCTGGTAGTTGTCGCGACTTGGCCAGCAGAGCTCTGAGACAGGCCGCAGTCCAGGCTCCAGGACAGCGTCACCTGAAGTGGCGTGAGTCCTGATTGCGTCTTGTTTACTTAATTATTTATTAGTCCCTAATACCGAGAAGTTTTTAGACTTTTTCAGTATATCTTCATAGAAGAATAATATTAGAATATATTATACAAATATTATCTAAATATAAATCAAAATGAAGCTAAAGATAATCAATTATGGAAACAACTAACCATATTTCACTTTAAATTAATTTTAAATACAATCTATTGAACAACTTATGAGCCATATTTTATGGGGTTGTCGTTGCACACAACTCTACAAGATCCACTGATCTTCCCTACCTGTCATTAAGTATAGCACAGCTTTTAACACTGACCACCTTTTACCCCAATCTCCTGCCCAGGTAGTTCTTGGCTATGAACGGAAAGATTTTGGTTTTCCCTGGGGTTTTCCAAGTTAGTTATGAATATTAGAGGATGGAGTTACCTGCAGATCGCACGATTCGATCCGATCCTTTATCCTTGGCCATAAAAAGAGTGTCGCTGGCATTTTAAGCTAATCCAAGCACCTCTATAAAATCCACTGCACCCCCGTCAGCGGCACTACGTGATATATGGCATAGATTTACCAAGGCCCAGGCTTATAAAAACTACCATGGGTTTGGTTTCAGTGCGTTCCAAAAAGGATATTGACAAAGCAAGAGTCCTTCGAGATATAGCCCAACTTAAGCAGAATCTTCTCAGAGATCAGGTGATCTCGGCTCAAGAGTATCCCATGATCCCATGTCCCAAGATGTGGACTAAACCTATTTAGTATTCTATTTAAATTGAAATAAATGTATAAACTCAGTTTAAAGCTGGTTAAGATATAAAGACAGCAAGATAGCCATGTGTCCTGGCAATTTTGTGGTCACCATGAAAATATCAAGGCTCCTCCTTTCTCTTCCTTAGAGTGCTCAGATAAATTGGTGTCATCACATCATAAAGTAATTTCCAGCATATTGAAATTTTCCTCAGCTTTGCCATCTCGGCTGTCGTCGTGTGTGTCACATGGAAAATCAGAGAGACGAGGTCCATATTAGATTTGTCCAAGGACCATGTTTTGTGAACAATATTTCATCGTCAGCTGTCACAGAGTCATGTGTTTTTATTAGTTATTTGATTATGCCAATAATAGAAACTTGTAGAATTTCATCATCGATAAAGTTTTGCCATGCAAGGAGTATGTGCTCCTGTAATAAATTAATAAAGTTGTAAGTGTGAAATGAATATAAAAAACATGTAAGACTCATTTTTGTATATTTTATTTATATTTTATTTTCTTGTTTTTTTTTTCCATGACCGTGACCATAATACAACGATAATTATTTCGATCTTATCCCGATCAATTTTCGCTTAATGTCTTTCTAATTGATATATTTTCACTCTATTGGTTGACATAAAAACCCAAAATAGAGCAGTAAAAACATTGCATGAATTGCGGAAAACCAATTGATTGATATGTTTACATATATATATTTAGTATTTTCCTATTGTTCAGTTGCAATAAAACGTAGACATAACTGTCAGATAATTGCGTTAAATGGGAAGAATTAATGAATGGATAAGAACTTTCTGCCGACTCAGGGGCGACGACTCATTTGGAGTTGCCCCCTTTTGGTTCCACCGCCCACTCCGCACCCGAAGGAGCTTCCACCCAAGTACAAGATGCAACTACCGCAACAACCGTGACAAGTACAACATTTGTGTCGCCTGCCTCGGCTTCAATCTGTCGCCCTCCGCCTGTGCCACGCAACCTTTGACACGCATAAATGGAACAGTCAACCCCCGGCCCCATCACCCTCAGTTATGCCCCATCTCTCAGCTTGTACACTTTAAAAAATAATAAGATATCAGAAGATTAATAAAACATAAACCATTTAAACATATGTTATATATGTATATTTAAACCAATCAATAATGCATTTATTTCATTTATAAAAGTAAACTATTAGTGTGTAAAGAATAACTCATTTAATGGCATGTGACCTACCTATAAAAAATGATTATATATATATTTTTTCCATTATAATTTATTACCAAAATCAATATACTAATATTTTTAATTCAAGTGTCCGGAAATGCCAATGCTGAGTGTCAGTTCTACGGTCTCAGTTCTACGGTCTGCTGTCCTGGCCCGAAACCCGGACCCGGCACAAACAAAGATCGCAATTTGACTCTACACCACGGAGCTGTCAGCTGGCAGAGAGTGAAGGAAGATTGATTACCGCCATCGAATTGTTTGCCTTCATCCGGGGTAGTTGCTGGCCGGGATGGGGATGGGTATGGGACTGGGGCTGGGGACGGGGTAGAAAGGCATCGGAGTCGAGGATGTGCATGTGGCCTGTGTGCCTGACTTCGATTGAATGGCATCGGTATGGAATCGAAAGAGTTGAGCTACCAAACACGATACTCCTGCTGTCATATGTAAACAACACTTGAAGTTTTTGCGGAACAAAAGGGTTGGATTTTACAGATGGCCAGAGGGGTGCTTTTACTTAAAACCTTTAATAAACAGTATAATGAGCTTAAAAACGATGTCATAATTTTGTAAATAATATGCAGATTATGAAAATTATTATTCCAGCAAAACTATACTTTCAGCATTGTGAGTCCAAACATATTTTGAGGTCGCTCATTCAAAGGCTTCACAGTAAAACAAAATACAAACGATTGAGCTGGCACCTTTTATTAATGTCCAATTTTTATTTTAACTTTTCCAGGAAATCATCAATAAACTCCATCTGCTTCGAATTAAATTTGCGGGCATATTTCACACAGTTCTCGAAATTGGGCTCATCGTTGAGGCCTTTATAGGCCATGGCGCGATACATCCACGCCCTCAGGTTCTTCTCGTCCAATTTGTTGAGAACGAAATCGCAATCGACAATTCCTCGTTTGAATTTGCCCGATCTGCAAGGATATTAGAACATCCATCAAGTTGGAAATATATTTAGATACATAGAATGCCTTGGTTTCCTTACTTGATAAAGCAGAGAGCACGATTTATGTATAGGATGTGACTGTCCCGAATATTTTCAATGGCCTCGGTATACATAAGCATGGCATTTTCATAGTTACCCCTTCGATACTCTGCGTTTCCTAATCTAAAAAAGAAATATATGAATATATATTTAGAACTCTGTGATTTTAGAAACTTACTTTCGAAAGTTCTGGGCAACTCGTTCCCTTTCCAAACGAGCTTTGGAGCGTTGATCAAGATCCATTTCCACTTGCCGCATAAATGGAAATCTGTCTGTTTCCCTATCTTCTGGCTTGAATGTCCTGGGCTTGGTGCCTCCCTTTGATGAAGTATCCTTTGGTTCTTCCTTTGACTTTCTTTTCCGTTCGGTTACTATAAAGTTTTCATCCGTCACTGTCATTGATTTCGGTTCCTTCTCAGGTGGATCCTTTTGCTCTTCATCCTCTCTTGATACAAATAATTATAAAATGTATATTTAATCTACTTTTACTTACTCTTTAGGCTTTTGCAGCCTTTCAAGCAGTTTGATGACTTCTTCAACTGTTGATTCGGATCCTAAAAACCGTTCATCAATTTCGGGATGTTGCAGGGAGTACATATTTTCCCAATATTAAATAATGCTCAAAGGATTTAAATAAATATTTGACCGCTGTGGAGCTTGTTTATTCAGTTTGTTTACCAGCTTGGCAAACAAGTGGCGTGGCTTGTTTATTGCTTATAACCAACTGGTTGCCTAGCAATATGGCCAAAAAGTGTTAAGAAGCATATAAGAAACTATCGATAATACCTATCCTATTTTATGTATCCAAAGAAACTTAAACAAAAAATATACAAAAAAACACCATAATCTTTTTTAGTCTTAATGGACTGTATAAAATATTTATTCAGCATTAAATCCAAACTAAATATTTTTATTTTTGCCAGTCATTTGCGTTGAATCGTTTACATGATTACGGTTGTAGACAAACACACATCTGCACACCCTAGTACTAACACTCATGATACTCATATTCATACTCACGCTCACATTACTTTTCATTTAATCTCATATAATTTGTAAGATAAAGAAATGCACAAATGCACATGCTCAGCGCAGCTCAGCTTGGCTCAAAGGATCAATTATAGTCTATAAAACATAATGGCATCTAATAATAGTAGAGCTGCAATCTCGACACGACTGAAACTAGTCCCCTCAATCTCCCCTCGGTTGCTGGAGTAACTTTACACTCTGCAAAATGTTGCTATTATGGTGCAAATTATTATTTAATTAAATAAGAGTAGCATTCTTTAAGTAATAACTGATTTTTGTAGTTTTAATTGAACATATTTTGAGTTAATAGTATTTGAAAAATCAAAGGAAATGCATATAATAGTAATTAGCATGGGCTTTGGTTCAATTTAAAATTTAGGAAACCCGTGGGGCTGTGGGAGGATATATATTTACCTATACTACCTAGCAAAATTCAATATTTAAAGGATCTAAAAATCTCTATGATAGTATAATTTTTAGTAAATAATTTAAATTAAATATATCCAGTTTTAAGATGATCCTGTTGATCCTTTTAATAATAATATAGTTTGTGTTATTCAAAAAGAACCTTTTCTGCAAGTGAGACTCTTTCTCCTGGCTCTCTCTCACTCCATCACCTGGAAGTGCATGTTGCTGGCACATTACCTGCACTGCAGGGAAAAGGATACCTGGCCGGGGAGAGCTGGGTGGCGGATATGTGTCTGTGTCGTGTGTGCCAAGCATTTAGGAGCTGGCTCACACTCACACACGCTAGTACCGGACATGGACATGCTTAAGCGCCAGGTTCTGTTGGCCAAGCTGCCTGGGTAGGGGAATGGGGAGCGGACAAGGGGCGGTAACAAAATGCACGGGAATAAATAATTGCAGTGCGGCAAAAGGAGCCTGAACTGGTTGTGGCACCATTTCATTCCGGCAAATGGACAAACGACAACGACACCAAATTGCTCACATGACGCACCGCATTTTTTATTCCGCTCCGCACGAATTTCGTTCGTTTGGTTGGCCAAAGTTGGCAACGCTCCTGTCGGTTGGCCGGTTGGCCGGTTGGTGACTCCTTGCCGCCTGGCGGCATCATCAGCATAGATTGCCATTTCGACGTAATTGTTATAAATGAATTTCACGTAATTTAATTATGGGTTTTAGACCGATGAAAAATATACCGGCCAGCGGGCCATAAATATGGCCCAACCCCATATAGTTGGGAGGTCACTTGCATATGCTGCGTATCAGCTGTTAGAGAGGGTTGAGGGAGGGCAGGCATGAATTATCCATTAAATTGGAAGAAGAAATAAAGGGTATTTTATTGAAACAGAATCTTGATTCAGTGTCATTGTAACCAATATACAAACTGTCTTAATTATTACCAAAATTAAATGTGAGTGGAAACGAAGAAGTTGTAATGTCTAATGTCTATCTAAATATTAGGTTTCTTCTCCGAATGGCAAATTTTCTAGCAATATTACAGACAATTTTTATAAGGCTTAAATGAATTTAGAAGGAGCAACAGCAGATGCTTGCAACAACATCACGGCTCATGACCCCCCATGACTCTTGGCCGGGATGGCACAACAAAAATTTCATTGTATGCCCAAGAATTCCATTTTTGGGGCTCAAACTACCCTCTTGCACAACCCCTAGCAATTGGCATTCAAATTTTGAAGTGATTTTTTTCACGCATTCACAATCTTCCGTGGAATACAAAATAAGAAGAGTTTTCTGTGCCTGCTGTTCACTATATATGCATATTTTTTGTGGGCCAAAAGAACAGGACAGCCCCGGTCGGCATATGTGGAATAAACGGAAAGTTTTTCCCGGCTCTGCACGATTTGTTTATACGACAGGTGTTGGCCATATCCCTGGCGTTGAGGGACTAACACGTCTGTGAAATGTCATAACGTTTAAACGTGCCAAAAATATCCAAATTGAGCAGAGTTGAACTGTTGGAAGGAAAATGTTGCCAAAACAAATGGGTAAAATAGAAAGCCTTCTATAGAAGAGGGGTTTTTATATACCATAATTTATGGTAAACGGGGACTGTTTTAGAAATATTAAATCTATCAAGTATGATTAATGCATCTTAAATATAAATCCGAGTTCCAGCTAAATAACCCGGTTAATTAACTCCCCCAGATATACCCATCCGAAACTGAACGGATTCCTCGGCAAAGCCATTTCATTTGCACACAAAATACATTCCGCTCGGCTGTCGCAAGGATGCCATGGCACTTGCCTGTCGCAGTCCTGGCCGCGAATTCAAAATTCATTGCAGATGGAGGCGGCGGCTGAAAGCTCCCAAAAGGCGATTAGCCATAAAAATTATAGATTCAATCTAATTAGAAAACGCTGCGGTTGAGCATTGGGATGGAGAGGAATCCGAGTGAATATTTAATTTAATTAACAAGAAACAATTCGAAGTGTTTTTCGCCCAGCCTCCATTGCGGCTACGCAATTTATTGTTATGACCAGGCCCAAGTCTGCGGCGTTGTCATTGTCATCAAGGCCCCGGAATTCAGCTTCCCGCCTCCGGGCTCTACTACCGATTCCGGCTAATAAAGCCGCAATGTTGCCACTGCGCGAATGATTGAGCCCAGAAATTGGCCAACTGAAGCAGTGGGTACAATCTGTGCGCTGTTGGACATGTTTATTACATTGGCATTTCGCGTAATTGAGGCTGGCCCGCGGAGAGTTGTTTACTTGTTCCTGTTGTTGGCTTTTTATGCGACTTTGATTAGCTGCCTCTGATTGCCGAGCGATTAGCCACGCCCACGCTTCCCACATACCGGCTTCCGAATCCTGCATCTATATTCATTATGGCAGCCCCAAAACATGTGCAGGACATGCTCCGAGCAGGAGAGCGCGGAACTATAACCAGAACCAGAACCAAACCGAAGCGAAGCGAACCGGACCACATGTCAGGAAATGTCAACAATGCGCATGAAAATTCCAAGGATCCACCTCCCTAGAGAAAGGTCCTCCCCCTTTTTCAGCGACTTCCACATGGATGTACTGAGAAAAAATATTCATTACCTCAAAGACAGATTAAGACAGAAATCATTGCCATGTACTTGTAACTGTCAGTAAAGATCTAACCACAAATAGAGGCAAGTAAAAAACTGAGATTCAGACTTCACAATTTTTATTTTACTAAAAATCTTGAAAGGTAGTTAAGGTCTAGTATCCTTTTTCCCAGTGCACTTTCGGCAACTTGGATGTGGCAAGTGCGAGCGACAATTTCCTCCCAGGGGAAGCAATTTGCCACACACACCACTTACACCACTCCTCACCCAAAGGGCCAAAGGACCAAAGACCCGAAGGGTTGGATGGAAGGACTGGTGGAAATTCCTTGGAGCTGAGTGTCGTATTTCCGCGCTGCAAGACGCTGGCCAGCCACCGCAGCCAGTAGCAAGTAATGTGTGCGGTTAAATGTCCATAAATCAAATCCTAACACTCCACCGCTCAAGATGACCAACGGAACCTGGTCCAGCAGAGTCAGGGTGTAACTGAAACTGAAACTGAGCCTGGGTCCAGATCCCGAATGGAACAGGGAGTGGGAATGTCCATGGGTACGGGGGCTGGACCTGTCCGAGTTAATGCGGTTGACACTTTTCTCGAGCCCTAATAGATGGGCAATGCAATGGAAATGCCTCGACTTGACCTCAAGTCGTCCGCAATGGGACATTAAATGCAAAAGTGAAACCGAAGACAACTGGGACACTGGCTAAATGCTAAAAATTAACTCTCCTTCTCTCTCTTTGCGGCTGAGTATTTGCCCAGTCAAATGTCCACTTGGCAGAGGAAAGGTCCTTTAAAGGATTGATGGGGGAAAAACTGTTACAAAAAAGGAAATATTTGAGAAATATTTATTTATTAAATTTGGATATACATACATAGATTTTGTATAGTTTTAGAATAAAAATATTTTATTAAAAAATGATTTCTTTAACCTATATAATAGTAAAAGGTTATTTGTCACTGAGCTGGTTAAGAATTTTGCGTCCGAGTGCCAGAGACGTTTGCTTAGCTCTAACAAAACATAACTTAAAGATACTTTAAAACTAAATTTAATACGATTTAATTGGTATAGTTGAAGCTGGGATTTTTGTGCGAGATGCTTAGCTTTCTGGACTTGGCAGCCGGTTCGCCCCAAGACAAGTTCATTGATGGAGCCGGATGAACAGCGCTCGAGGGGATTTGGTTTTGGACAGTAGAATGCCAGGATTGAGTGGCCAAAACTGGAGCTGACTTGGACCTTGACCATGCTTGCGCTGCAGCCTCCAGATCTTGCTTAATACTCTGCAGGACCAAGTCCACATTGTAGGAATAGTGTCCTGATGTCGAAGTCGTTCCTGAGCTGGGTGGATTGGTAGCTCCTGCATTGGAAATGCTGCTTGTTGGCGCCGTTGTGGTCTGAGCCAGGTGCTCCAAGATCTCACTGAGATCGGAGCTGGAGCACATGCTATTGTTGTTGACGGCAGCAACTTCAGTTTTGATCTTGGTTTGCCCATAGACTGCCTGTGGATCCACAGGAGCTACAGGAATCTGGATATGGTTTTCAGCTGCAGCTGCTGCGGAGTTCTCTCTGGGATCTTGGGAGTAGGACATCAATCGCTGAACGATTCCTCGATGTGCACTCTGCTCCGCCTGTGGCTGGGCCAACTTTGCATTAGCTTTTGGTTCACGAAGACCCTGGATATCCTTCTTGAACTTCATGCGTCGGTTCTGGAACCATATCTTCACTTGGCGCTCGCACAGGGACAGCCTCTGGGCAATCTCAATTCGCCGCGTCCGGTACAGATACATGTTGCTTTTGAACTCGTTCTCAAGCTCCACAAGTTGGACACTGGTGAAGGCAGTACGGGATCGCTTGAGCTTCACCCTATGCGAGTCCTGGCTGGGCTGCGAAGGCAGATTCTCATCCGAGGACACCTGCTGGTGGTGCTGTTGCTGCGAGGAGTGATCGTTGAGGGTGGTGGGGTTGGAGTTCATCTGGTTGTAGTTGGGCGGCAGACTGATGGGATTCGTGACATGATGGTGACTATAGAGCAACTAAAATGAAATAGAAATTTAATTAGTCTACTGTAAAACATGATTATAGTTCCTTTTACTTACATCGCTGTATTTGACGACCTTTGGAACTGCCTGATACGAGCCCACCTTGGCCTGATGAACTGGATAGTAGTGCATGACGGAGGACATCTCTCTGGATGATGTGTGGCTTTTATTTTCCTGATGCTTCCGACTTGCCTGTCAAAAGTGTAATGATCTGTCGTCCTAAGCAAACACCACTCTTTTATAGGAATATGTTTAGGTAGATGGTGCAGGCAGGTCACATCGGAGGACGTCTGGTTGCGAAAAAATTTGCCTACACCCGCGAGTCATAAATCCCTTCGTCGCTGGCCGACTGGCACCACGGAGACTAGCCAAGTCCGAGGACTCTCGGCCGTGGGCAATGGGCAATCTAGAGGCTGGTTTTGATCGAAATCCTTGCCAGGATTTGGCGTTACGTGAGACAGTTCCCGGGGTCCGTGTCCGGGGCCCAGGAGATAGTCTAGCCAGGTAGACAGGCTACAGGCTGATGATGATCGGAGATTCGAGGCGATTGTTGTCCAACTTGTAGCACCTGTTGAAAGAGCTCCGGTGGCGGCGCTGAAAGTGAAACCGATGCCGTTGTCGCGGCTTTTGGTCGCTCGCTGTCCGCAATTATCCTTATAATGCAATGAAAGCAACGCTGAGAAAAAGGATACTCCTAGGGGTTTTATGCTCGATTTAGACAGTTTATGACTTTGTTTGTTGCCGCGCAGCACCAGCAGCAAGGATATGCCAACGGAGCTGAAGTCTCCGTCTCGGCGAATCCGAATCCGAATCCGTCGCGGTCCCTTGGTCCCTTAGGCTTCCTGTCCTCTGTCCTCGGACTCGGGAATTGTTCGCAAATTTTATTACTGGCGCTATCGGATTTGCTCCTTCTGCGAATTCGCTAAAAATACGCTGGAACAATGGAAAAGTCATGGCAGGAAAACCGTTTGGAAATATGGAAAATTGTGTGGTACAGTTGAGTAAAGTTTTATGCGAAAAAATAGTATAGTTATGGTTATTTTAAGATTAATAAAACAAACTAATTAATAGAAATTCGTTTTTACATTTATTTGAATCTACAAAGTATAACTACTAATTTAAACATTGAATTATACCATTGCAAGGTATTATAATTTGAATCTAAAGCTTCTGTGTAAAGGAGGCGTTTTCGACCCCATAAACCATATATATTCTTGATCAGCATCAATAGCCCAGTCGTTCTAGCCATGTCCGGTCAAGAAATAAATTTTTAACATTTTTCCGAAAATTGAAAATTTTATAAGGGGTTACATCATTAAAATTGCCAAAATTTGACAAAAATTAAATTTTTAAATTTGAAAACTGAGTATGCAGCTTTGTTAATCTACCAAAAACTAGCATAGACCAGCTTTTCGAATTAGAATTAATAATTTTTTGGTTTAGTTAAGCTATGATTTTTGGAAAAAATTGTACGTTTTTATACCTTTTTGCTGATTTTTATGATTTTAGTTCAAAACTGACAATAGCATCAACAAACGTATGCAGTATGCAGATTTGTTGGTGCAATAAAAATAGCACAAAAAATCTTTCAGAATTAAAATTAACGCAATTTCGGCTTAATTATGATGTTAGAAAAACTTTGATTTTTCAACAAAAATTGTCTGGTTTTATACCTTTTTGAAGAATATAATTTAAGTCGGAAGCTTGAAACGCAATGAAGGAGTCATTTCCGACCCTATAAACCATATATATTCTTGATCAGCATCAATAGCCCAGTCGTTCTAGCCATGTCCGGTCAAGAAATACATTTTTAACATTTTCCCCAAAATTGAAAATTTTATAAGGGGTTACATCATTAAAAGTGCCAAAAAAGTTGACAAAAAATTGAACTTTTTTAATTTACAAAATGAGTATACCTATTTTAAAGATAGTTTAGGTTTCCTTAATTTCTTAATAATTATAAATAATAAATTGATTATTTATGTTGGTTGTATTCAATAAATATTAAATGCGTAATAATTATAATATTTATAAATATGAAACGCATATAATTAAATGATCGGTTGTAAGAATGGTTACTACACCTGGTTTTCCCAGCACGGCCCATCAATAATCCACCTCCTAAAACGCGCCCATTTGGACGCGTGAAGGAGCAAGATCAATAAAAATACCGAATGCGGGATAAACCCAATCGACATTCGTTCATGTACAGCGCGTATCGGTTTTTCTGGATTTTCCATAATTTATATCAAAGAAAATAGAGGCAACAAGTTGCCTGACGGCGCCAGAGAGAGCGGGCTGTACAGTGCCTACCTAAATAGTTCGACCCTACCAGGTTGGTCCGCGGAAGGTCGCATCAGGTAGATATATATAAACACAGGCAGCTGGTGCAAACGTTTTATGACCCGCGGGTGTTCGCGGAAAAATCGCGAATCTCGGTTTATGACAGGCATGTGTGAGTGTTAGCCATAAAATCCATTTTTAAATTCATAAGATTTTCGGGAAAACCAGATACAGTTTTCGTTCATCCTGGGCAGGGAAAGGGAGAGATACCGACCCAAGAGCTACTAGATCTAAGAGATGTATTAGCTTAGTTTGCTACCATCGCGTGGAGTAGTTTTTATATTCCCATAATGATTTAGAAAAAGCTTACACAGACAACATCATAGGGTGGTGCACCATTTTAAAACTATACTTTAGGCTTAACATATTTCAATGCATCTTGAAGGGATGTGTTAAGGATTGTTTAATAATTCCTTAGGCAGCAAATAAATCTGTGAAATTGGAGCAAATGGTCTGTCATATTTATAAACAAACAATTTGCTGACAATTCTTGATCAAAGAATGTGCAAATGTTAGATTATGGCAGGCACTTTGGCATAACGTAGAAATTGAAAATATTATATCGAATATTATTGATTAAATGTTCATCTTTAGGACGTAATCGTTTCAACTGATTACCATCAAGAGAAACATTTTGCATTTCGACAGTTACAGTTTTTAGCTATGCCAAGTTGCTCCAGACACGATTTACTTACTGACATGAATTAAAGCTAAGTTAAAAATTTAATAACTTTCCCTGGAATACGTTCAAGCCCATTGAAACCTCGAGTGGATCTGGTTGGGGCGTTCCTGGGCTTTGGTGGAACACCCCGGCAGAGGCAGTCGAGGCATAGAGCGTATTGCAGGGAAAGTTTACAATAAAATAAAGAACCTATCATCCCTAGAAGAGGCACTGAAATCTATGCTACCTGCTGACTAGGCTAGTACATGCACAAAAACTTAAACTTAAAAACAATTTACAATCTTAACTTACTACGCGTAGATATCTACAATCATTTGGTATTTGTACAATCAGGAACAACAGTGATAAACTTAGGCCTAATAAAACTAACTCTCTGGGTAAGCCGCCTAATGCCTAATTGAAACAGTAGGCGAATTGTGAGTTTCCTGCGGCATTACGATGCGGATTATACGCTTGCATTATCGTATCCATCGTACATTGATATTGGTTTGATTCGGACATCGTCACGCCCATTCCATTGCCCATTGGCGGCGGTGGGGCCTGAAGTGGCGAAAGTTTGCCAAACTTTGCAAAGGCTGAGCCCCGAATCCCGGTTCCTGACAAAGCTCGAAGCCCGGTGCTCATGTCGTCACTGCTGCCATCCTCGCAGCTCTTGTCCAGACCCTTCAAAGGCTCCAAGATCTATAACAAATTAAGGATAATTAAAAATTCTTCATAAGTTGTCTTCAATAATTAGAAATATAGTTTAAGGTCCTTATTAAGAGTCTTGTAAATACGTTTTGATGCATATGGCTGACCTGTAGCGTCGTCTTCTTGCTCGTTCCGTCGTCCATGTCGTCGGTCGCCTCCGTCTCGCCAACGGCCGTGGCGCACGGTCCGCCGATGCCGATGCCACACAGACTGGGACTCTCGTCATTTTTGGGTGTTAATGGCTCGTAGACCTCGGAGCCGGGCGAGGCAGCGCCTCGAGCGGCAGCGGGTGCGGCAGTGGCGCCAGACATAGCCGAGCGCATATAATACGAGCTGTTGAAGTTGTAGTCGGCCTCCGGTTCGTCCTTCACCTGGACGCGACAGGCGCTGGCTGGCTTTTGTTGGAAGTCAAAGTGATGATACTGTTGCTGTTGCTGCTGTGCCTGTTGCTGGTGCTGCATGTGGAGCGGCCCATGGTTGGCGTGATGATGCAGCTGCTGCTGATGGTGATGAAGTTGCTGCTGCTGTGGCGGCGGTGCCTGTTGCTGGAAGAACTGGCCACCGTTGGGAACACTCCCCGACCCAGCTCCTCCTGCCCCTGGATACTGTCCATGCACTTGACGATGCCCATTGGTCTGGGCATGATTCTGATTTCCATTGTAGCTATAATATGCGTTGAACGACTCGCTGTAGTGTTCCACTAAGTGGGCCGTGGGCGTTGAAGGCGTCGGCGACGGTGTCAACGCATTGGGTGTGGCGCCTCCACCCAAGCTAAGGGTCTGCAAGCTGGGGGGATCCCCATCCCCCTGCTTTAAGCCCGGCGAGAGTGGCATTCCGTCGTACGACTGATCCTTGTGCTGATCCGATTGAATTTTGTGCCGACGCCTTCTATTCTTGAACCATATCTTCACTTGTGCCGTGCCCAAGGCTAATTTGGCCGATAGGTCCGCCAGTCTGGGGGCGGTAAGGTAACGTCCTTGCAGAAAGTGCTGCTCCAGCTCGGCAATTTGGGAGCTGGTAAATGTGGTGCGCGTGCGCCGTGGGCGCCGCATCACCAAGGAGTCTGGAAGCTCCTCTGTGGGATACATATCTAATGAGAGGATAATATAGGTTTTTTTTTAAATGTACGAAGCATAACTTGGGTTCTAGCTCACCTGGTTTGGGCATTTGATTCGGCAGATACGGCCGTATGTAGTTGTAGTTTATTGCACCCGTTCGGTCATCGAAAAGCTTCAGAGAATATAAGATTACACTGTCTTTATATAAAAACAATACAAGGAAGATGGGCTTCGGGGACCGAAAATTGGAAAACACTTCAATTGTTTATATTATTTAAAGGTCTCGCATGTTTTTTGTTCACTTTATCGAAGGTGCCCTGTTTACAGTTTACAATATCGGAGAATTGAAGCTTCAAACTTCTTATTGAAACTGCCATTAGTTTCGCCAGTTTCCACTCACCAGATCAAATGGATTCCGGAATTGTGGCGGCAACTGCAGCTGCGGATGCTGATGCGCATGGGGATGCGGATGAGGATGGGAATGTGGGTGCGGATGCGCGTGGGGATGTGTGTGCGTGTGCGGCAGCGGGTGATGGTAAAAGTTTTGATCTGGCGGCGGTTGCGCCATTTTCACCAAACACTCCGCCGCTTTCTGTCGGCGATTAGCGAAGGAATTTGGAAAAAGTTTCTTTAATTCAAGTAACCGGTTACATGCGAGGCGATCGCAAACTTATTTCGCCAACATTTTTTTCCACTTGCTTCGCATCTGGATAGTGCCGTTATTTAGGGATGGACATTAAGCGATAGGGATGGGGCAATTAGATCAATCAATAAGTATTCTAAACAATAGTTTCTATGATATTTAACCAAAGCTAAGAATCTTAGTAATATAACTTAATTCTGTAATCCAAGAAAAGGAATTTCAATAAGAGTTTGTCCCATAATATTTAAATATTGCGCGAAAATTTGCAGTGTGCCCAGCAGCCTTTCCCGGAAAAATAATAAAAATCCCCTAAAACATCTAGTTTTTCTTTACCACCTCTGTAACTGGTCACACTTGAATAGCTGACGGAATGCTCGCCATCGGCATTGACAGATACTAGAGATGTGTCTTAATTTTCAGACACAGATGTATTTTTTCGGCTGGAAACCCTCAAGTTTTCAACTTTAAATTGGGAACTTATAATATGTTGCTTCTCTACGGAAAAGCAACAAAATGCTAGGAAGGAGATTAGCGCTGGGAAAATGGTTTCCATAATATTCCGCTAGAGGGCGCATCATGTAGATTTTGTGTAAACTGATACTGGTTTAAAGCTGAATGATACGAAATGTCAAGGCTAGGTGATGTGGATCTTAAGTCTGTTAAAAGGTGAATGCTACAAACACTTCAGCGGGAGTTTTGAAAAAATTACAGTTTCTGCAGTTTATTGTGTTTTGGTTTAAAAAAGTATTATATATATGTATAATAATATTTTTTACATTTTTGAATGAATAGTACCAAGGTCTTAACCTATAGTCATAACTTTTGTAACATTTACTTATATTTTAAAGAGACGTCGTTTAACGTTAAGTGAAATATTTTAATGGCATTTACGAAATAATTGTCGTGTTGACTTTTGGGATCTGGCATGTGCTTGTTGCTGTTGGTCTTGCTTTTGTTGCCCATACCGCCGCTGCCAACTGGCAACAAAAGTCAATTCACAGACACTCCAGGACAGGAATCCCAAACAACGAGAGACGTAGCTGGAGGGGAGTGGAGTTTGTGGGAGCGGGAGCATCCCGGCATCCAGCCAAAAGGCAAACAAATATATACGCGCACAAAGTCAAAGCTAAAGGATACACACAAAGGTACAGTGGATTTTTGAATTTACTGGGATATCCAAAGTATTCTAGTTTAGCAGACAAAACTTCTGTTGACTTAAGAAAAGGAATGTCCTTTATAAGTACTAAGTCTGAAATTAATGGAAAATAACCACTGCTCAGTTTAATTTTTACTATATTACTTTATATTCACATAGTTATATTATAATTTAATTTCAAAGAAGAGATATCCTTTCTATTAACATCAATTATTGGACTTAAGAGTAATACAGAGTTCGTTTACGAAAGCAACTCCTAGTTGGTGAATCAAAAAGGACTCCGTTTCGGTCGACCACTGTGCAGCAGACACACACTGGGCCTCAGATTCACACGCAGTGTGTGACAAAGGACTCGCCTCTGCCGAGTCCCCGTTCCCCTGCCCCCCTGCAGCTTCCCTGTTGCTGAATGCCCTCCCCTCTCTCTCTCTCACTCTCTCTGGGTGTGTGTGTTTGTGCCGCTGCCGAAGCGAAACACCCAAAGAGTCACTGACAGAAACAGGATTCGGGTAATAAATTACAAAATTTGACATTTTCTGTTTTGGATCCGCTTGCGCCTGAATGCGAGGCAGCAGCAGTCCTGTAGCCCCGTCTCTTTCGTTCGGTGTGTGTCCAGTTTGGTCGGGCCAAGTCGACCGTTGCTTTCGAGTGCATAAAGCAGCCAGGACATGGACGTGGTCCTGGAACCAAAGAGGAATCGACGCAGCGGCAATGACGATAATGATGATGATGCTGATGCTGATGATGACGATGCGGCTGGTAATAATGAAGCTGGCGGGTTGCAACCAAAGCCAAAGGATAACCCCGAGAGCAGAGCGGTAAGAACGGGGACGTGGACAGAGAATAGAAGCGCCCTATGAGGTCCACAGATAGTTAACTGGAAATTTATTATTTTACACAATTTACAATTATCTGATTCGAATGTGCAGTCGCAGGCACAGATGCAGCTGCCCCCGGGAGCAGCCTCATTTCGCCAGAAGTCACCGAGACGATTTAAGATGTGATTTAATTTCCCAAAAATCGAGCATACATACATACTCTTAAGGGGAACTTCTTTGCAGTTACAAACAGTCAGACAGACAGCAGCGTCATCATCAATCATTTCCCACAGCTAAGTCGGGTTAACCTCAGCGGGTTCTTTGGGGGACGAGTCTCTCTTTGGGTTGATCAGAAGTCTTGCTGCGAAATATGGAAATTAAATGCAATTGGGGGGAGGAAGTTTCAATGACGGGCGAAAGTTGGAAAACCACAAGCCGTTAATATAACAAGTGGATTGATTGTGTTGAATAAAGTGCTACTCAAATAGTATTAAATTTCATTGCTATGTTTATGTCTCAGCATGTGAGGAGGGTGAGGAATTGGAGTGTACTACAAAATTGAATTTCTTTGAATTTTAAAAAGGATAGTTTAAAGATGAACATTATAATAAATTCCTGATTTAAGGCTTTCAGTGTAAACCATATCTTTTGAAATTGTACAAATCTTTAGTAATTTTTCCCATTTATTTATTAAATTATTTAAGTCTTTAAGGTATTCTGAATAATACGGAGATAATAATTATGAAAATATTCGTTAATAAGAAGAGGGATTACTTAAAGGAGATATCTTCCACCAACCCTGTTATTCCTGATTATAACTCAATGCAAACACAACCTAATACTTGTAATTTCTTTACTGAAGAATTAAGTTTATCCCATTGAATGTTATCCTTTCCGGGCTTACGAAAGTTCCTTAAATTCCCCGGATGCTGCTCTTTAAATTTCCCTCCGAAAATGCCAGCATGGCTGAACTAGGACCTCAAGTAATTCCCACCCTCTGTGCATTCCACCCCCTTTTGTGCATGCACTTTTCACGCATGCGCCCCTGATCCTTGCGCCAGAGCGGGACGGCGCTCTCGTCCTTGCCCTGCTCTGCTCTTCGCTCTTGGCTCTCCTGAGCGCTGGGATCGCTGGCATTTCCAGAGCGGCGAAAGGTTATTCCCGCGCCATGTCGTAAATCATAAATCACAAATGGCCCGCATTCCACCTTTCCAGCCCGCGCCCTTCCACGAACCCCTAAACGTTTTATGGCCGACTGGCGGCACAAATTTCAATCTCAATTTGAATTTGATTTTAAGTTTGGAGTTTTTCACGCTTTTCCGCGCCTCAGTTCGTCGACGGTCGCTTTCGCCGGTGCTTTGTTTTTGCAACGGATCCGCTTAACCCGCCAGTGGGCGTGGCAGGGGTAGCAGCAACGGCCAGCAAAACAAATCAATTAAAGGCAAAGGGAACATAAGTAAAATGCATTGATAAGTGAGCTCGGAGTCACACTCACGCACAAGCAAACAATTTAAATACAATCCGAAACACAAACACAAACGGAGGCAGATACAGATAGCAGTGCAGATGAAGATACAAGTACAGTGAGAAAGTAAACAAGCGAAGGGCGATAAGATCCAAAACGTCGATGACTTTGACTCCGGAAAATGCACAGTGAGAAATGTGGCAGAGGTAATTGAAAGAAGTCTATAAAATATGAAAGGGTATATATAGTTTTTGGATAACTAAAATTATTAAAATAGTTATTCATTTTTTTAACATTAACACATAAAAAAAGTCTTTTTAACAGAAAGAACTCAAAGTAGTTACTCAGTTAAGTTAAAAGTTCATCATCATTGCAGGGTATCAATGTTTCAATCGAAGCCTAAAAAATGTGAAGGAGTCATTTCCGACCCCATAAACCATATATATTCTTGATCAGCATCAACAGCCCAGTCGTTCTAGCCATGTCCGGTCAAGAAATAAATTTTTGACATTTTTTCCGAAAAATGCAAATTTTATAAGGGGTTACATCATTCAAATTGCCAAAATTTGACAAAAAATTGAATTTTTTAAATTGAAAAACTGAGTATGCAGCTTTGTTAATCTACCAAAAACTAGCATAGACCAGCTGTTCGAATTAAAATTCATGATTTTTTGGCTTAGTTATGAGTTTTTTTAAGCTATGATTTTTGGGAATAATTGTCTGTTTTTATACCTTTTTTCGGGTTTTTATAATTTGAGTCAGAATCTTATAACAGCATCAACAAACGCAGACGGCAGATTTGTTAGTACTATAAAAACTTGCACAGAAAAGCTTTCCGATTTAAAATTAACGCTATTTTGGCTTAATTATGATGTTTGGAAAACTCCGATTATTTATGAAAATTGTCTGTTTTTATACCGTTTTGCAGATTATAGCTTCAGTCAGAAGATTAAAACGCAGTGAAGGAGTCATTTCCGACCCCATAAATCATATATATTATTGATCAGCATCGAAAGCTAAATCGATCTAGCAATGTCCGGTAAAAAAATAAAATTTACTAAAATTTTTCAAATTTTCAAATATTTATAAGGGGTTACATCATTAAAATTGTCAAAAATTGACTAAAAATCAAATTTCTTAAATTTAAAAACTGAATATGCAGAAATGTTATCCCTATAAAAACTAGCATAGAACAGCTTTCCGAATTAAAATTAATGATTTTTTGACGTAGTTATGATCGATTGAAAATTCGAAATTATGGGTATCTGCAAAGGTATACCAATCTTTAGCCTCTCGAAATTAGCTTCCCTTCTTGTTGTATATTATTTTCAGTGTACCCATTAGGTTGCAACAAAAGTCTAGACTGAGGCAATCAATCAAAACGATCTCTATCTCTGACGCATTCTCGCGGTGTACAATTTTCGGGGCTCTTCCTGCGCTCGAGGAGATAACGAGCGGTCGGCGTCGACGCGTTAATAACATGGAAAGAACAACAAACCAGCACTGAGACTTCAGATAGAGAGCAGCAGCCGAGCTCAGTCGCCTCTGCCGCTTCAGTCGAGCCCCGGACGCGAAGTGAAGCGCATTGAACCTACGAAAGTCAGAGATAACCGAAGAATAACCCAGAGAGCAATCCAGCAACAGCAACAACATCCTGTAATTACACTTAACACTGCTAAATTAAAACTAAAAAAAAATGTACATTTTAAGATTATTTCAAAACAGTGCATTTGTGATATTTAAAAGTGTGTCAGGAAGACGATTTTTATTAAAACTATTACGATCAGTGATAATATACTATACTTCAACATTTTCAATTTCAAGAATGTTAACATTACTAAAATATAATGAAGTTTCCTCTCTATTTATTAAAAATAATTATATTAGAAGTTAAAGCTCATAATTTCAAGTAGGGAACATTGATATTATCATTTGAAATATGATATCTACAACTTGATTTAAAGTATAAACATCCAGCTATCTACAATAGTATTTTATAATAACATTTACTTATAATAAGTTACTTACTTTTACTTTCTTATAATAACTTAAACTTCCAACCTCACTTTTTGCAGTGACAGCCATGGCAAATCCAAGGCTCTTTATCTACCTTTTCCTGGGCTTCGCGATCAGTCTGGAATCCGCCCTTGGAGCACCAGTGATTAGCCAGATCAGCAAGGATGTGGTGGCCAGTGTCGGTGATAGCGTCGAGTTCACCTGCACAGTGGAGGATGTCGGCCCCTTCACGGTCAGCTGGGCCAAGAGGGCCAGCGAGTCGGACACCAATTCGGTGGTTCTCTCCATGCGGAATATGCTTAGCCTCACAGATCAGCGATACAATGTCACAGTCACTGATGGACCCAAGTCTGGAAGTGCCATCTACACGTTCCGCATCCAGAAGATCGAGGTGACCGACATGGGTCCGTACGAATGCCAGGTGATCGTCTCCGCCACGGAGAAGGTGATGAAGAAGCTGAACCTGCAGATCAAGACCCCGCCTATGATTTCGGAGAATACCCCGAAGAGTACTCTGGTAACTGAGGGTCAGAACCTGGAGCTTACCTGCCATGCCATTGGCTTCCCCAAGCCGACGATTTCCTGGGCTCGCGAACACAACGCCGTGATGCCAGCCGGCGGTCATGTCCTGGCGGAGCCCACTCTCCGGATCCGTACAGTGCACCGAATGGATCGCGGAGGATACTACTGCATTGCCGCAAATGGCGAGGGACAGCCCGACAAGAGGCTGATCCGTGTCGAGGTGGAGTTCCGCCCGCAGATTGCCGTGCAGCGACCGAAGGTGGCCCAGATGGTGTCCCACACCGCGGAGCTGGAGTGCTCCGTGCAGGGCTATCCGGCACCCAGTGTTGTGTGGCATCGAAACGGCGTCCAACTGCAGTCCAGCCGGCAGCACGAGGTGTCCACCACGGCCTCCTCCTCTGAGATAACAACCTCTGTCCTGCGCATCGACAGCGTGTCGGTGGAGGACTTTGGGGACTATTACTGCAATGCCACCAATAAACTGGGACATGCCGATGCCCGGCTCCATCTCTTCCAGACTGTCATCCCGGTGCCGTCGTTCTCGTAAGGTCACCACATCGACATCCATATCCACATCCACATCCACTTCCATTCCCACGCCACAAGACTGGACCCCTCCCATTTTAGCATCTCGTCTCGCTTTTTCGGCAATTCCCCAGCCCGGATGCGGCCTGTGTTTATATTATTAATGAATCATTCAATTAGCTCCCATTCAGACTCTCTTATTTTCGGACACACTCGAGATCGACTCGAGCGACCGTTGTGCCTTAAGAATGTGCTCAGCATCCGACGGCTTTATACACATGTACAACGCATCCTATAAGCATAAGTAAATAACGTTCTCTGATAAAGTTTAATCGGTCTTTTCCTATATGGTGGGGTTACTTTCGGGCAGTTGGTTATGTGGCAGGAAATGGGGCCTGCAAAAAGGAAGTTTCAGGGTTGCCTTGGATTTTAAATTACTTGATATTGAAGAGCAACAATAATATTTTAAATACATAACCAAATCACATCTTAATATTATGCTATCATTCGAAAATCCTACCATTCCACCACATTTTTTCAAATGGCAATTTTAATGGGCCAACATAAAAAGGAAGCCAAGTCCAAGTATCCATTATCAAGATACGAAATGTATTTGCTTTCCTTCTGCATTAAAGGTAAGCTTCTACCTTCCAAAGATTTGAATCGTCAGAAACCTAAATAAACGAATGTAAAATTCACTCAAGATAAGTCCCATTTAAATGCTGCTTAAATCTGCCATCCTAAGACCCAAAATGTCCCACCTTGACCCCAAAAAAAGAAAACACAGCTCGTATCCAAACAGTTAATACTGGCGAAAGTCATTTGCCAGAAAGTTAACCGGGTCCGCTCAAAGTGCCACAACATTTAACTCTTCAATCATGGTTAAAAAATGGCAGTCTGTTCACCTCTTGACATAAGCACACGCACACATTCACACACACACACCCAATGTGTGGTGGGACATGTGGGGGTTCCCCGAAAAGCCAACCCGAAGTAAGTTGTTCATTGTAATTGAGAAAAATGCGAGGCATTTGTAAGGCGGCCCAACGAGTTGGGTCTGCCGCTGACACAACAACTAGTCGAGTGTGTGTGTGAGTGTGTGTGTTGTGTGTGAGTGGTGGGGGGCTGTGTCCCCGAAGGACTCCATTATGGCCCGGGCACATTAGTTTAGCTAAGCCCCAGCCCGACTCTCATCGCTCACTAAAATCAACACTTGCTAATGACTTAATTGTTTCCATTAGAAACTCGTTGCTGGAATACATTTGGCAAATTTTTCATTCTCGCTCTTGCCTTTATCTGTTTCTTCTCTTATTTTATTTTTTTGCACATGTCCTGGGCCCCGCACCAAATGAAATCCTGGCTAAATGTCTGTCTTTATTGTAATTGGTATTGTTGCTGCCGCTTGCACGCATCCAAGCCAGAAGTCCAGGGACAACACGTGCGTCCTCGTCTGCAGTTCCCAGCCTCCAAGCCCGTCCTGTGTCCTACGCTCTGCGTCCTGCGTCCTGCGACCTCATCCTGCCGCTCCTTTGGCTAGAACATCATTTCATTGTCTGCCCAGGGAAGCGGAGGTTGAGGATAGAGCGGCCCAACATGGACGTCGACGTGACTTTTATTGATTTTTGGGCCAGAAACACCCCCAAGAGAGAGAGTGAATGAGTGAGAGAGCCAGCAAAAGTCGATTGGAACGCAAGCTGTGAGATGTGCGACTCCGTGAGGTTTAAGGGTGGAAATCGTGTTGCACAGGGCAGCGCTTAGCACTACCCTTGCCGCGGAAAATGGCAACAGTGAAGCCAGGCTAAGGAGCACATTGCTGACTTTCTGTTCCTCCTCCACAGGCAATTTCCAGGAGGATGATGCCAACGCTTGCGCAGTTGAACTAAGGACTTACCTTGCTAGAACAGTGTTGCTCATCTGGCCGCGATGTGTTTATATTTTAATAATTCCATAGAGTGTTAACAAATTAAATTCTTAAGTATATTTTAGTATAATTTGCAAAAAAAAAAAAATGCATATGAATACATATTATTTGCTCAGAAACTAATTTTTCTGAGAAGTCGACATAAGGTATTTTTCGTTATCAAACCTTATCAATTTATCTGGAATAAAATCTAGCAATTATCCATAAACACTTTCTAGAAATATAGAAATCCTTAAAAACCTAATAAAACTAGATCTAGACAAACAAATGTGATCAAAGAAAAGTTAGAACAAGTTCATGAAGTCAGTAAAAGTCAGAAGATATGTGAAATCCATTTTCCGAAATTATTAAAATTATATTCCTACAATTAAATAACAAAAGTAACTGCAATATTTTAAACTATAAATATCAGTTGGACAAAATTCCTATTAATTCTATTTGTAACCCTTTTTTTCTGCAATTTTTGTTACATTTATTTTCTCAACAAATTTGAGCTGACTTTATTTTTGTAACCTTTTATTTTCTTCTCCCCGAATAAGAGAGCCATCACTGCTTCCGATTTGCACTTTTGTGTGATGCTTTTTGTTGGAACCTGGAAAGCGTATCCGCCGTCGAGCGTTTGACTTCCAAAACGTGCCGCCTCCACAGACAGGACGCTCATTCGACTGGGATCTTCTGGCCAGGATGCAGTGGCCCAGATGCCGCGGCTCCCGCATCCGTTTTCCCACTATTTTCCGCCACATCCTCGACGACGAACGCGGCGGTTGTAAACAAAGGCTGCTGCGACTCTGGGGTCTTACTTTTACGATGATGATGATGCTCCATGATGCTGAAATGCAGTGCCAACTAGAAGGATGCTAGGACGAGGAAGGAAGGAGGGAGACAAGGAGCTATCGTCATCACAATAAAACGCGGGCAGCGGCACGTGAAATTTGATTGGGTGAGTATCGCGTCTGAAGATTTGATAAAAGTCCCAAATTGTGTGCCTGATGTGAAATGAAATTTCGCCGACTTTAATGTGTTTACTGATGATGTGAAGTGACAGCGAGTGCTTTAAAAATACTTAATCATCTGTAATTACTCTATGGTGACAAATTGAGTGCTCTTGACGAAATGAAGCTAACTTTTGGGCTACTTAACTAATTACATGCCACTAAACAATGTAATCTTTATAATTATCTTTTGAATCATTAAAGTATGTTGTGTAAAAGTGAATTATTAAATGGAAATTTAAAAAGTCTCATTGAAAAGTAAAGTTATGGGACATGCCACTGGACTTTTGATAATAATCTTTCAATAATCGTTAAGCATATCCTGATTTATATTAACTAATTTCTTCTTTTCTTAACATTAATCTAATACTGAAACTTCTTAGCTTATTATATCTTTACCATTAATTAAATTTTCTCAAAGTGAATGCGAATATTGACTCAATGCCAAGCTAAGGTTCCTGGCTTTTTGCCAGCTGTATTTTTGGCTCGGTTCCAAGGCAACTGTTTACATTTAATCTGATAATTTGCCAAGAACGAATTATGTGATCAGGAGTTTAGAAATTACACACGATGTGGTGTTTTTTAAGAGCCTGTACAGAAACTATAAAAGGTTTTATTGTAGTTTTAATGGTATTTAGTTCAAATGCTGTATAGATTTGGTAATTTTTACTAAAAACCAAACCAAACCAGTAAATATTGAGTAAGACGTAATTCAAATTCAAATGCTATTTCACCACTCTTCCTCTAATATCGTAAATTTCCTTAAATATCCCTTTAAGCGATCAAATGATCCCTAGTCAAGCAGTTCTATACTCACCACACACTGCTTGCACTGCTTGGCACTAGCTGCCCGCCAATTCAAATTTGTCCCAATTTTGGAGTTTCTCTGCCGCAGTTTGTGGCATATGCAAATGAATGAGTGCCACGCCTCCAATCAGATAATTATGAGCATGTACGCTTTTACTCGCATAAGTAATTGCATTGTAATTAATGCTGGCATGCCGCGCGCGCTCTGTCTCTCTCTCTGTTTGCAAGAGATAAATTAGTAAATGAATTATCGCTGGCAATAGTGGGGCATTAATTGAAGTCTCCCGCGCTTGATTTATGAGTCCTGGGCAATTTATGGACGAATGCATAACCATTTTCCCCCAACATCCGTTAACAAGCGGCTGCGGAGCGACAGAGATGCACAACGAGTGGCCAGAATGGAGAATGGAAATCGGCGAATGGCAAATGCAAATGGGAAAAACTCTGCCATAAATAATAATTTAAATATTTCATGCGAACGGGCATAAAAACGAATTAGCCCTGCGATGCCGTTCCCTTTAAGCCAAATATTTACGATAACGAAAGGGCGGCGAGGGCGGTACTTAAAACAGAGAACAAAATGCGTGAAATCGTTGGCTATTGCAATATTGAAGGTTTTTTTGTAGTGTGGGTTTACATTTGATTTGATTTCATTGATGATATTATATGGATAGAATTCTATAAACTTGGATAGCATTCGTTAAGCCCTAAAATAGTTATTATTTAATATTTTAACAAAGTTTTGGTCTTGCTTTTTTTAAATTTTGAATGCAAATCAAGATGTATATATAACTTCTTCTAATTTTAATTCGTATAACTTAAAGCACACCTAAAATATGCGTATTCTAGATATATTAAATCGATATAATTTTATATGCTATTTTCTAGGTAAATCGAAGTTTTCCAAATACCATAACTAAGCCAAAACGGCATTAAATTCAATTCGTAAAGCTTTTTTATGCTAGTTTTTATGGGGCTAACAAATCTGTATACTAAGTTTTCAAATCTAAGAAATTCAATTTTTTTTCAAATTTTGGCAATTTTAATGATGTAACCCCTTATACAATTTTCAAATTTCGAAAAATTTTCAAAATTTTATTTTTTGACCAAACATTGCTAGATCGATTCAGCTGTTGATGCTGATCAAGAATATATATGGATTATAGGGTCGGAAACGACTCCTTCACTGCTTTGCCAGCTTCTGACTCAAGCGAGAATCCCTACAAAGATCTAAAAATATATTCAAATTGGGTAACAGCAGTAAAAGCAAACTTTAATATTTCTCTGTTATATTTTTGATCCTCAATTAATATTAAATACTTATTTTATATTAAAATATAAATTTTAATTTATGTATCACTATCCTGACATTATTTCTCGCCGTGCATTTGAATGTGAGTGACAAGATTGCATGGCATTCATGTCGGTCTCGGTGGCAAGGCGAATGGGGGCTTTTGCTGGGATTTCGGTCGCTTGTTTGTTGCCTGTCATTAATCCCTTCATGCGGAGACAAATGCAAACTGCTTTGTCGCCGCCCCCCAATTCTCC